AGAGCCGTCATAGTACCATCATAGAGCCAACATAGTGCCATCATAGGCCATCATAGAGCCATCATAGTACCATCATAGAGCCATCATAGTACCATCATAGAGCCGTCAGACAGAGGAAACATCCGACTCCTGCTTTGAGAAAAGAGAGAATCCAAGGAATTCAGAAAAGCAGCTCTGCTCTCTGGATGGAGAAAGGAAAGCAGATCAGCCTCATTAGGGACAAAGAACTTCTCTAGCTGAGTTCTTAGAAGCTGAACTAGCAGGTTTGAACACCTTCTGTATAAAGATGTCTACAAACCCCAGCGGCCGTGTTTCCATTCTCCTGAAAAATGATGCGGTGGAGTTCAGCTGTGCTGCGTGGCGTCCTACTTTCCACCGTCTCCTCGTGCTCAGACACACATACCATCCTGACCATTGCAAACAGAAAACAATGGAAATGTTCTGCAAACGGATGAGGACAGATCTCCAGCTTAGATGAAGATCATTTTCCAATTTTTAAGTTTTTTATTTTACATAATTATTTTTTTCTTACATTTTTATTGAATCTGTGAGTCTGACTCGGTTTGTTTTGGGTTTCATAAAACTGGATTGTTATGAGTCTGACTGTAAAGTCAGGCGGTGGCGCTGCCCCCCACGCCCCTCTGGTCTTTATTGGTGGAGTTAGGAGAGCAGCAGCTGCTCTTGTTGGGTCTAAGTTGAACCTGAATCTAAGTCTGACTTCCTGGAAGCTCTGGGTAAACAGAAAACATGTCTCGTCTTCCTGGACTGTATGTAGCATCCTGCCATGTTCTCTGTGTTTCAGTCCCTCCCACCGTGGAGCCTGTGTACACGGAAGTCCGTCAGGCGCTCGGCCGGGCTTTCAGCCTCACCTGCAACCTGCTGCAGGCCTACCCGGCTCGCCACCTGCAGTACGAGTGGAAGCTGGGCCCCCGCCTCCTCACTGTGGGAGAGTTTACTGACCAAACACATGACACCAGCTACCACGTTAAAGCCCTGAACCGAGAGGGTTACGGCGAGTACACCTGTGATATCACCAACGAGGCGGGGGCCGGTCGCTGCACCTTCCTGGTTACAGGTGAGCTGGTTTGATTGGACGAGTGTGTAAAGGTGTGTGAGGGAGATGTTACAGCAGCTTCTCTCTAGAGGTTCAAACAAACCCTGATTCCTCTAATAGTTGGAGAATGGAAGGTTCAAAAAGTTTAATGACAGAAATAACAGATCAGGACACGGGCTGCGGAGATAAGCAGACCGCAGTGGCTACAGGAGGGGGGAAACTGGTTTAACAGTTCAGTCCCTCCTCTCAGAGGAAGGCAGGATCCAGCAGATTCAACGCCAAACGAGATGTGGCGCAGAGCATCCCCGATGCAGCAACCCCAGTGAGCGGGCAGGAGACCAACCCAGGTCAGAGAAACAGTTCAGAACCAGACAGTTCTCAGATCCAGGAGTCCGTAGCCCAACCAGGGGTTCCAGGTAGATCCAGGGTTCCAGGAATCCTCAGAGCATTCCGGCAAGTTCAGAGCTTTATGAGTCCAGCAGTGAGCTCAGACAGAAAAAAGCTCAGATGGAGACAGGCAGTCTCAGTGGTTGAGAGGAACAGAGACAAGACATGGTACCAGGATAAATGCAGAACTTTTAACTGGTCTCCACCTTGGAGCCAGGATTACGGGACAAAAACTGACCTCGCCCACGTTCCAAGCCAAAACCCTGAGGGGTCCACGGAGAAGAGTAGAGACACAATCAGGAGACAGGAGACAAACAATAAACCCTCTAAATCCAATAGCCTCCTTAACTTAAACTCATAACAAGCATAAATAAGTGACACGACAAGATAACACAATCAAACTAATACACAAATAAACTAAAAAATACTAACGAATAATGAAATGCAACTTGCCTAATAATTCTGTACACAGTGTATATAGGAGAGTCCAAACTCTCTGATTCTCAGAGTGTTCTGGTTCTGTCTCCTCCTGATGAAAACCTGTCAGATTCCCCCTAAAAGCTGCTAACATGTTAATCCTCTTAGCTGGGTGGCTGCCAAGCAGCGGCAGCAGAAACTTTGTGGATGAGGGAGGTGGAGGCTGGGTGTGAGGAAGCTGAGGGATGGTCTGTGGTGGACCTGTCTCTACTTTGCTGAGGCATCATTGGGGATAATAAGTCCTTCCTTATCAGGCAGAAACTGCTGAGACGACAGCAAAGCTGGAAAAGCTAAACCTGTTCCTGGTATATTCAGCTCCCAGTGAAGATGCTGCAGTGAAGGACTGAGCGGAGCCCTGGCAGCAGGGTTACTCATTATTATAAATGTTAGACACATTTGACTGTTTTAGAGTAAAAATAAATGAACAGATATTATAGGAATAAACTGTGAAGCGTTATTGTTCAGATTTCAGAATCTAAGGCAGACTGGTTCACTGGGAGGGGCCTAATGGTGCTTTGATCTTCTGGAGCAGAGGGACTCTGTCACAGAAAAATAAAGCTAAACTTTCCTCTCTGTTCTGGTAAAAGCTGCTCAAGCATTTTGGTTGAATAAATCAGCTGCAGCTTGTTCAGCATCGCAGGGTCTTTTATTGTTAATTCACTTCCAATGTACAACAACTCCTTCCTGGAGCAGACAGGAAATAAGAAAGAGATGAGCACATTTAAAGCACAGATCTTAACCATGAGTGCACAGCGCCCCCTAGCTGCCATCATAGCCAACAACCACCAGTGAGGATCACTCATTGAAAGAAGTCAAAACAAGTTAATGTCGCGGCCTTCTGTTCCAACAAAAATAAAATACCAAAGTTTCCAATGAAGGCCGTGGGTGGTAACAGGTGATTTTGTTTTTGTACACACTTCCAGCTTGGCTTAAAAAGCAAAAATAAAAAATATAAAAAAAATACTTCAAGTGTCTTGGAACTTAGTAGAAACGAAATTTAATGTTTTAAGCTTCCAAAAAAGTGGTAAAAAAAAAAAATAATTTTTCAAAACCTCCCGTCCACACTAGACATTTACCAAACATCCTCCAACCCCTGGTGTTCTCCTAGTCACTCAAATTATTGGGAGGGTCAAACAATTAAGAACATACTCCAAACTATTCCAAATGTAAAAAATAAATAACAAAATTTGGTTCTAAATTAACTTAAATATATTTTATATACCAAAAGACAAAAACTAAATTTGCAGAAATAACAAATTACAAAAATGTAGCATAAATGGTCACAACAGTTAACTTTAGATCATCCCAGTGATACTGCTGCAGTAGAGACGCTACATGGCTCTTTGACACATCACCAGTTTCACATCCACAACAGGTAATTACAGTCATGGGTGTAGGTTTGCATAGGGACCATAGGGACATGTCTATACCAAAACTTTGGACCAACCTACTTGTCCCTTACCAACAGTTAGATGTGCAGAACATGTTTATAATTTACAATACAGCGTTGTTGCAGCAGTAAATGAGTTCTTTGATTAATTCGATTAATTGATTACTAAATTTGTTGACATTATTTTAATAATTGATTAATCCGATGAATTGTTTCAGCACTAGATAAAATACATGAAATGGGTTAAACAGAATAACTACATCCTAGATGTACAACTTGTAGAGTGAGGTTAATATATTAAAGTTCCAGTATAAATGTAAATACAATACATTTATTTGGCGTCCCTTGAATCTTTTATTTCGCTTTGTTTCATGATACAAGACAACATTTAAAAGAGTAGGTTTTACCTCTATTTAACTCTGCACAATTCTATATCTTCAAAATAAAAAAAAAAAGTATAAATCCACATATAGCAGACATATTTAGACTATATTCTGTTAAATAGGCACAGATTTACCTAATGTCTTAGTCGCTGGTAATTTCAAACGCAAATCTTCTCAGAGTTGAAAAAAGTCCTAATTCCTCATTCATCAGAGCCAGTTAAGCTTCAGTCATTGATAAACAGCATCTAGTGTGTAGTGCTTTTAAAATTTGTAGAAATGTAGCAAGAAATGCTGCTTTTCTCTTTAACTGAAATACACCCTGATTTTCCACTCAAGTATAAAAAACGAGCATGCATATTTTTGCATAGGACCAATGACATCAGACCAATTGTGTCCCTATCAAAGTCGAAATTAAACCTACGCCCTTGATTACAGTCATTTAAAGTTGTCAGAGCTGCATTATTAGTCCACTTGCTGGTGAAGATTCTCAGTCTTCCAAGTCATAGTCGTTCCAAAGAAGTTAAAGAAGTTAAAAAACAATCCACTGGACTTAGTTTCCAAGTTTGAAGACATTTTCCTTCCCATCCAGGAAGCTGTTTTTATTTAAAATGTGTGGACTAGCATTTGACTTCCAGGCTTTATACAGTAGACCAAACAAAAGCCTTATTAGGGCTTAGAAAACATGCAAATTGAACTGAAAACTACTGGTTGGACCCATTTTTCTGGTTTAATTGCATGTTTTCTAAGCCATAACAAGGCTTTGTTGGTTTACTCTATAAAGCCTGGAACTCAACACTGATCCAGACATTTTGAATTGAGGAAGTTTCTTGGATGGGAAGCGAAACATCTTCAGACTTGGAAAATAAAGTTCAATGGATTGTTTTTAATCTTTTTAACCTTTTTTGGAATGATTAATCTACATTAGTTTATGTGTCTTATCTCCCATACAGCTAAAGCTGTGTCCTTTTTTAGGTTTGGGGAATTTTTAACAAAGTGCATTGATTTTATTTTGCTGTAAAATATTTCAACCTAAAATATCAGCTCCATATATGGAAGGTTTTCTTCTAGTAGGAGCAGCTCAGTTGAAGGAAGACCTCTGATGGTTCCTTGTTTCCTTCTGCTCCTCAGGGAAGGCCTATGGTCCAGAGTTTTACTACGACACGCCCCAGGCTCTCTGGCAGAACAGACCGCAGGTCTACGGCTTCAAGCTGCAGTGGACCCAGATGGAGCCCAACGCCGTGGACCGCATCCTGGCCTACAGGCTGGGTATCCAGCAGGTCAGACCTTCGCCATGTTCAGCAGACCATCAGCCAGCAGAACCTTCTGCAAATTAACTCAGAGATTTTAGGAAATATTTCAATCAGGAAACTGGGAATAGATTTAGCAAAGCATATTAAAACATTGATAATAATATTAGTCTGAAGTTTCGTCCTGTAGGACCGTCTCTGGTGTTTCTCTGATGTTAGGAGGTTTAGTTTTGAAGGTTTGTTCTGCTGTCAGTTTGTCTGTTTCTGCCCTCGGTTGAAGTGGCGGCCGCCTGTCAGAAGGCCACAGCTGGAGGGCTGGGCAGAAACCAGCAGCTGTCCAACTGGCAGCTGCTCTCCTTACTGGGAAAGCATTCCTCCTTAGAGCAAGAGGAAAAACATGTTTTCTCTCTTAGTTCCATTTAGTTTGGAGCTAAATATTTATTTAAAAACTAAATATTTATTTAAAAACTAAATATTAATTAAAAAAAACTAAATATTTATTTAAAAACTAAATATTTATTTAAAAACAAAATATTTATTTAAAAAACTAAACATTTAATTTGCAAAGTAAATATTTAATTTGGAACAAAATATTTATTTAAAAACTAAACATTTAATTTGCAATGTAAATATTTAGTTTGGAAAAAAATATTTATTTAAAAACTAAATATTTATTTAAAAACTAAACATTTAATTTGCAATGTAAATATTTAGTTTGGAAAAAAATATTTATTTAAAAACTAAATATTTATTTAAAAACTAAACATTTAAT